CCTTCTCATCCTCCTCCTCCTCTCCTCCTCCTCCTCCTCTCGCTCCTCCCACCTCCCATCCCTGCCTCTGCCTTCCGCATGTCACTTAGTTCGGCACACCGCTCACGCGCTTCGTGACCCCCCAGGGAGCTCCACCGAAGGCCCCAGAGGGAGCGTTCGCATGCGCCCGCGCCACACAGTACAGCGCCCGCGCCACACAGTACAGCATAGCTCCACCGAAGGCTCCAGACGGAACGTTCGCATGCGTCCCCCCCCACCCAGTACAGCGCTGGGTGACCCCACAGGGAGCCCACCCGAAGGCCCCAGAGGGAGCTATCGCATTCGTCCGGGCCACCCATTACAGCTCCTCGTGGCTCCACAGGGAACTCCACCGAAGTCCCCAGAGGGAGCGTTCGCATGCGTCCACGGCACACAGTTCAGCGCTTCGTGGCCCCGTAGGGAGCTCCTCGAAGGCCCCAGAGGGAGCGTTCGCATGCGTTCGCGCCACAGTACAGCGCTTCGTGGCTCAATAGGGAGCCCCTCGAAGGCCCCATGGGGGAGCGTTCGCATGCGTCCGCGCCAGAGTGCAGCGTTTCGTGGCCCCGTAGGGAGCTCCTCCGAAGGCCCCGGAGGGAGCGGAGCGTTCGCACGCGTCCGCGCCACCCAGTACAGCTCCTCGTGGCCCCACAGGGATAGCTCCACCGAAGGCCCCAGAGGGAGCGTTCGCACGCGTCCGCGCCATCCAGTGCAGCGTTTCGTGGCCCCACAAGGAACTTTACCGAAGGCCCCACAGGGAACGTCTGCATGCGTCCGCGCCACCCAGTACAGCGCTGCGTGACCCCACAGGGAGCTCACCCGACGGCACCAGAGGCGGCGTCCGCATGCGCCTCTCCGCACTGTGCGACGTTTTGTGGCCGCATAGGGGATTCCACCGAAGGTCCCTGTGGCCGCGGCCGCACGCGTCTCCCCCACCTACTACAGCGCTTCGTGGCCCCACAGGGAGCCCCACCGAACGCCCGATTGGCCGCGGTCGCATGCGTCTCCACCACCTGGTATGGCGTTTCGTGGCCCCATAGGGAGCTCCAACGAAGGCCCCAGTGGCCGCGACCGCATTAGTCCGCGCCACGTTTTGTGGCCCCATTTGAAGCTCCACCGAAGGCCCCAGAGGCCTCGGCCGCGTGCGTCTCCCCCACCCAGTACAGCGTTTCGTGGCCCCATCGGGAGCTCCACCGAAGAGCCCAGTGGCCGCGGCCGCGTGCTTCTCCCCCACCCATTGTGGGACACCCCGCGCGCGTTTCGTGGCCCCACTGGGGAGCTCCACTGAACGCGGCAACCACAACGCGGCATTCACAACAGCGTGTTGTTTGGATTTTCGCCAGGATAATTTGCCACAGCCTGTGCTTGTCCCGCTTGCCTCGTGCAGCGCAGTTTTGCCCCGGCCTCGGATTTTGTTGTTTTTGTTTTCTGTAATTGCTAGAAATATCGGGTGATGCCTTCCTTCGATAGAGGAAGCGCGATGACCATGGCCAAGATGTCGCAGGATCTTGTCGACGCCGATTTTGGTAATCGCTCATGCCGACCGTCGCCGGTGAGGATGATCCACGACTTGATAATGACCAGCATGGACCATGCCCAAGATCGGCGCCGACGTTTCCGCGTTGAGTGTTGGTCATGATAAACGTGTTCATTCCACCCATCTCCCCCATCCCATATCCATTTTGCTACCTGCACCTTTCCCCTCAATCCTTGCCCTGCCCCGTGCCTCTCAGCAGGCGCTGCTGGATCGGGCCAACAGGCTGGAGATGGAGGTGCTCGACTGACCGCAGCACCCGCGCGCGCGCGCGCGAGTCTTTTGCCTTGTCGTCTCTCTTACCCGCTCCAGCTTCCTTCATCCTTCCTCCTCGTCCTTGGGTCCCTCCACCTTCCCTCCATCCTCCTCCGTCATTGTGCCTTCCTGTCCCTCTTACCGTCTCCTCCACCTCGTCATCCTCTCTCCTCCTGTCTCCTTGTCTTCCCTCCTCCTCTTCCTCCTCCTCCTCCTCCTCCTCCTGCTCCTCCTTCTTTGAACCTCCATGGACCCCTCTGTGCACGCTCGATCTCCTTGTGACATGTGTGAACCTCCGCCGTCACTATCCATCCTGTCCTCCTTTCTTCTCCTGATCCTTCCTCTCAGCCTCCCTTCCTCCTCCCTCGTCCCTTTCACTCTCTCTTCATGCTGTACTCCCCCGTCCTCCTTCTCGTCTCCTCTTCCTCCTTCTCCCCCTCCTCCGTGCTCCTCCCTTCTCCTCCGCCCCTCCGCCCTTGTCACCGTCCTCATCTCCTTCCTTCATCTCCCCTCTCCTCCTCCTCCTCCTCCTCCTCCTCTTTCCCTTTCTCGGCCGGCCTCTCCTTTTTGTTTTGTTTCTCTCCTTCTCTACCTCTCTCTCTCTCTCCCCCCCTCTCCTCCTGCCGTTCTCCTCTTCCTCGTCCCCATCCGCCCTCTTTATCTTCTTCTTGCACTTGCTCCTACACATCCTCCTCCTGTCCCCCTTCTCCTCTCTCCTCTGGCTCCTCCTCCTCCTCCGACTCCTCCTCCTGTTCCTTGTCTTGTCTTCTTTCCGCCTCCTCCTCCTCCTCCATCCTCCTCCGTCTCCGCATCCTCCCTCCCTTCCTCCCTCCCATCTGCACATCCGTTACTCCCCTTTTCCTCGTCCTCGTCGTCTTCGTTCTTATCTTCCTCACCGTTGTCGTTTCTTTTATGGACGAGCCCCTTACCCGTGTCTGGCCATATCTGGCTACGCAGGATCACCCTTTCCGAAGTGCCTCCCTGCCAAAGTCCTTTTTTCTCCTTGCCAACTTCCTTTCGGTGCCTCCCCTTGCACCCATCCTCCCTCCCTCCCTCCCTCCCTCTTCCCTCATGCGTCCTTCGTCCTCCGTTCGCCCTTCTCCCTTCTCTCTGCTCCCTCACTGCTCCTTCCCCTTTCTTTCCCTGCTCCGTCCTCCGTCCTCCCTCCTCCCTGCCCCCCCACTCCTTCCTGCTCCCTCCCGTGTACCTGCTCCCTATCTCTCCATTGCTCCACCATCCTCCCTCCTCGCTCCCCCCTCTCCCTCCTCCATCACTGCTGCTCCCTCCTTTACCCTGCTCCCTCTGGCTCCCTCACCCCCCTCCGTTCTCCTCTCTCTCCCTTTCTGCCTCCCTCCTTCTTCACCTGCCTCCCCTCCTCGTCTTCCCTCCCTCCAGCTCGTCCCCCTACTCTTTTTCCTTCCCCCTCCTGCCCTTCCATCCTCCTCGTTCTCTTCGCCGTTGTCGTCCTGCTCTCCCTCCTGCTCCTGCGCCCCTCTTCTTCTGCTCCTCCTTCCCCTCCCCCCCCCCTCTCCTGCCCATCGCCTCCTCCTCTAAGGACGGGGCCCTGTCGAGAAGCCGAGCGGCTCGAGGTGGCGGCGGCCGATTGGGCCGCCCCTCCGACCACCACGTATAACAGGCAACCGAGATCGCAGCGACGAAAAGGCGGAGCGCGAACTCCTTGGTGCTGCTGCTGCTGCTGCCGCTGCTGCTGCTGCTGCTGCCCCTCCTGCTTCCTTCGTCCCCGTGCTCCACCCTTCAGGTTCGCGACTCTGATCAGCCAGATGTTAGTGTTGCCTCAGTCCCGCGCGCTTTCTCGGATGCTCCCTCAGCCCCCGCCCATGAGCCGAGGATTTCGGCCTTGGTCGCCAGAGTTACGACCAAGGGTGAGGCCGCTAAAGTTCCAGGGGCGATCTCACTCGGGGCGATCCCCCTCGTTTTGGTGCTGTCACCTCCCGATCTTTCCGAGGCGCTGCCCACTCCTCGGATCCAATCGTCGTGATACGAGAGACACGGCGGCGGACCTTTCGGCCTCCGTGACCCTCCAGGGCCCGTCTGGCCCGAGGCGTGCCGCAGGCGCAGGGGGGCCTCGAGGCCTCCGGCCGCGAGAGTCTCGTCGACGGCGGTCTGATTCTCGTGGGGCGGCCGCCAAGGGTGGCCTTGGCACGAGCTG